TCCCTACATTATCAAATATAAGAAAAGGAATAGAAATCTAGTAGCCAATGCTCTTTCAAGAAGACATACATTGCTCTTTACCTTAGGGAGACAAATACTTGGGGTTGATGATGTGAAGGAATTGTATGAGCTTGATATAGATTTTCAAGCCACTTATGCAAAATGCCTCCAAAAGTCTTTTGATGGATTCTACCTCCTTGAGGGGTATCTCTTTATAATGGGAAAACTTTTCATACCCCAAGGATCCATTAGAAAGCTTTTGGTCAAAAATAAGTCATGAAGGAGGTCTCATGGATCATTTTAGGGTTGACAAAACCCTCAATTTCTTGAAATATAAATTCTATTAGCCACATATGAGGACAAATGTACAAAGGTATTGCTCTAAATGCATCACTTGTCTTAAAGAAAAGTCAAGAGTAATGCCTCATGGACTTTATACACCCCTCCCTATAGTCAGCTCCCCTTGGGTTGACATTAGTATGGACTTTGTGCTTGGTCTCCTAAGGACTCAAAGGGGATTTGACTTTATATTTGTGACCGTTTTAGCAAAATTGCTCATTTCATACCATGCCACAAAGTAGATGATTCTAGCTATATAGCTAAGATTTTATTTAGGGAAGTTATCCGATTTCATGGTCTACCTAAGACAATTGTGTCCAATAGGGATGTTAAGTTTCTTAGTCATTTTGATGGAGTAGGCAAGTGAATTGAAGAATTTGTGCTTCCTTTTCCTTCTCCAATGATCACGGATCTTCCTCCTTGAGTGAAATCCAGAATTTAGAATGAAAGGTAGATGAGAGAAGAGTGTTTCCTAGACTAGGATGGAAGCATCCAAGCAACCCGTTTCAAAAAGCAGAACGGCCCGTTCTAAAGTTCACGTTAACACTGATTGACCATAGTTGGAACGGCCCGTTTCCAACTAAGGTCTTTAGGCAATTTCATAACCTTGGAACGGCCCGTTTCCCTTTGGGAACGGCCCGTTCTGGAAATACAAAAATGAGTAATTTTCTTCTTTGGAACGGCCCGTTCAACTTTTGGAACGGCTCGTTCTGGTCCCTCAAAAACAACTTATTTTCATTATCTAGAACGGTCCGTTCCACTTTTGGAACAGCCCGTTCTAGCCTAAAAAAAATATAATTTATAAAAATTTTCATAAATAATTTTAAATTAATACAAACCTCTATAAAAATTCTTTTAATTAATAAATAATAATCAACAAGAAAATTCAGGGTGCTACACACCACCTCTCGCTAAAATCATAAAAAACAAAATCATACAATGGAAGAGAAATGAGAAAAGGTTTGATAGACAAAACTTGATGAGCTAAACTTAAGTTAGTATTGGACTTTTTCAAAAGTTATTTTTGACTTAAAAATTTTCCACCGAAAGGTTGATCATTTATGCTTTGTTTAGATAATATATTTATAATATTTTTTACACCATATATTTATAATAGTTAAAAATGTAATTTTTAATATAATATATCTTTTCTAAGATAAAATTATTTTTGAAAAATCATTATAATTCTTTTTCTTTTTTTAAAAAAAAAAAACCATTTCCCTCCCACATCATTCCAATTTGAAAGAGAAATACTTTCTGGCAGATTCCGCAAAAAGAACCTCTTTTATGTTTTTCCTCTCAAACAATGAAAAGGTAGTATTTTTTTTTTTTATCATATCTACTTCTCTATTTCTTTCTGTTCTATTTCTCCCAAAACAAAGTATTAATTTACAAGGTGATAAACTAAACACGAGGTTTTAAAACTAGGTTAGGTACCTAATAAATAATTAGTGAGCTAAAGTAGCTTGTATGGTGATAAACTAAACACGAGGTTTTAAAACTAGGTTAGGTACCTAATAAATAAGTAGTGAGCTAAAGTAGCTTGTATGAAATCCTATGTATTAAAACTCCGCTGCCACAAATGTACCAAAAACAAAAAAAAGTCAACCAGTAATTCAATTTTATTTTTGTTCAAAGAAGGCGGGAGGGGGTATTTTTAAGATTGTGACCTTGTAAAGATCAAACCTTGCCCATTTGCACATGTTCCCCTAGCTTGTACAATTTTGGTAGTTCAATCTTGGCACAGGAAATACAATCACTTAGCAATCTTTTAGTTACTAATTTTTTGGGTGGTAACAGACACTTATGAGTCATTTTAATACGTAACAGTTGATGATTGCACATTAATCATGAATGTGTACATTAATTTCCCGCCTCCTCTCCAGATTCTTTTTTCATTGCAATTGGATATCCAAACCTTAATGTAGAACATTAACATGAAATAGAGCAAGTCATAAAACCAGACAAGATAAGTATCTAAATTAACATCATTTGAATCGGATTCCGGTTTAAAAAAGTATGAACTTGTATACGTTCCTATTCTATTTGCATGATACGGTGATATATCAAGGAAGGGGAAAAGACCCTCAATTATCAAGCCAACAATTTGCTCAAAAAGTAATAATATTTCTTTTCCTTTTTCCTTGATTTAAAAAATGGTGTAGGATATCATACAGAGACCAAAAAGCAAATGAAATCTGCAAGTCACAAGAACACATATGGTGGCTAAGAAGAACCGGCATGCTGCACATACCTACAAAACAAAGGAGCACAAGATCAATCTATCAGAAAGGGAAGTTTAATATGTCAATCAAGAATGGCCTGTTATGAATGTGAAGCACTACAATGCAAAAACTGTTAACCCTACCAAAAAACCCATTTATCGTTGAAAATGATGCCTTCTGGAACAACTAGTTTGTTTTTTGTTGTACCACATTAATATCCATTGTACTTTAAAATCAGTATATAGCATTTCCAAAATCTTTATGTATTTTGTACATTTGAAACAATGTGTGGGCTTTAAAGAAATAATTGATTTTATTTACACTGTTGCTTTGTTGTTTCACACTGCACAGACTTTGCCACAGAACATGTTGACGTTGGTCTATTTAAACAAGGTGAAATGGCCAAGACTCAATTTTTATCAAACATTTAAGGTCAAAGGTGCAATATTGTTCTTCAATGCTGTCCTCTCACTTTGATCAAATAAGATTGAAATGAGTATATGTTGACCCAAAATCTATATGGTCCCCCATCCCAGCCCTTACTAATGGTCCAACTTAAAATCTTCCAGAAAACTTTCTAAGAAATGCTATCAAACTTAAAGGTTAAAAAAAGTGACATAACCAAACTCAACCACCAAATTAGTTGCACCGTAGTATTATCTATATCTTCCAAACCAAATATTGAAAGCTTGTTCTACCAAGAACGTAGACAACAGTCAAATTATATACAAAGCAATAGAAGATAAGCTTAGCATCTTGGCAGTCTTTACTGTGTCTATGTCTCATTTTTTAATGTGATTAATTACACCATCTCATTTGCAAGAACAACACTGTCTATACAAGAACAACACTGTATATCAGGGTAACAGAAAAATAAAACAAAAGAGAACATGTAATCCATGTTAACCTTTTATGACCAAGAGAAAGTAAGCAGAATACAAACAAAATATTTATAATTTATGAAACCCCTCTCCCAGGTAGACTAGGCATAAACTCTTGAACTCATGTAGAGAAGTCGTGTCACATGCTTAATCATGCAAAACCTATTTCTGGAACTGAGAACATTAAACCCATCATCAATCACATGTTGCTTAAAAAAAACTGTCAAACTGGAATCAAAATTGAACTCATATGTGAAACCTATCATTCTCAAAGGATGCGCAGATACAACCATTAAGAAAATAAGACATAACACTCCGAAGTCATAAATAAATTTGAGTTACTTGATACAAAACACACATCCAAGTAGGAAGAAATAAGACACGTCTCGTAACCAAAGCCTCAAGCTTTTCTATTATTTAACAAATGTGGGCCAAATTGAGTAAAATCGATAATGACATGAAGAAAGTGTTCAAGGATTTGGGTAAACTCACCTTTCAGAAATTTGGACATGAAATCAAATATATTCTGATTAAGAGTCTTCTTCCAATTCATCAGACTCAGAATCACTTGCATTATAACCTAACAAAAATGCACCAACAAAAAAATAGTCACACTAAATTACAAAGGAAAACAAAGATGATATTCTAAGAGAGAATTTACCTGGACGTTTACCACCAACTCTCCAAACTGAAGACCTTACCCTTGATGCTTTAGTCAGCCAAATTCTCCCCTTCATTCCCAAACCAATAACATCAGCCTTGGAAACATAAGAAAAGACAAACAAGTACATCTACATTCCACACATCGTTCATAATTACACCATTGCTCTTTATATTCAATTAATGGCCCATATAATCCACATTTCACGGTAGAAACTCTTTACATCCATTTCTGCAATGACTTTTGTTTCTGTCTACAACACATTAAAACAATGAATCTGAAAAAAACACAAAAGACTGAGTTTTGACATTATCATAAAAAACAAATACAAAACTGACCCTATAATTGCAAGCTAAATAAACTTTTCAAGCCATTACATCTACACATGTTATATTGCTATTCTAGACACAGACTGGAATAAAAGCGTGATAAATATGTATATGTTATAATATAAATGTATCAGAACCATAGAAAGGACTTAGATGCATACTTCATTTTTCTTACAACAACATTTAGATGCATTCCCTTGTGTGCTTCTTTTGGTGTTGTTCTCCAAATAAAATTGAAGTTTCACCTTGGCAACTGACACCATACACGTCAATATTTAAATACAATGTAGAACCAAGGTGAAACTCCACGTTTGATCGTATATCACCAAAAACACTTAAAGAACTGTGCCTAAGTTTTGTCTCTTTCATTGTTTTTTCCAAAAGCTAATTATTCTTTCTTTTGTCAAGTAACATTGACTTCTTGAAACACTAGCAAACCCCAAAATCAACAACAACAAACAAATGACAAATCTCATACGCAGTTTTAGGTGTTTTTATTACTGTTGCTCTCCAATCAAAAGTGGAGTTTCACTTAGGTAACCAACAGTTTGCATTATATATCAACACAAGTCGCCGTTGACGTAAAACTCCAATTCAGATCCGAGAATAACACCAAAACTACTTAATAAACTTGATACAAATTTTAACCACAAACAAACCCTAATCCAATAAAAGTTGATTGAAGAACACTGAATCCAATGAAACAACACCACCAAACCAAACTAACACACCTTCTGACCATCTCTGGGAACACCATAGCCATGATAATACATCTGACCCACCAAGACCTGCATGTTCACATCACCTGCCTTAGCCTCCTTGAGAGCGTCTTTGAACCACCGTTTCACACAATCTGCCACCACTCCCGACAGTGGCACACGCCCCGTGCTCTCTTTCCCACTGCTGCTCTCCATGCCCCAATTCCACAAACTGGGGTTTTCTTCTTCCTGGGTATCTGAGACAGTGAAAAAAAGGGGTTTTGTGAAAAGGGGTGAATTTCCCATAATTCTTACGAAAATACAAAATCAAAAAGGTTGTGCTTGGGATGAACTGAGAGTCGGAGAGAGAGGGAATCGCAACAAGTGATGAAAAGTTGTCACCTTTTGAGGCTTTGACAATGGTATGTGAAGGAGAATTAAGAAGGGGTTTTGTAGTTTGAGAGACAGAAAGAAAGAGAAAACAGCTAGCGAGCGGCGTTCGGAGCTGTTTTCTCTCAAACACAACACACCGTTATTGTTACTTGTTACCTGTTGTTGTATTTTTTAGTGTAAAATCAACGATTAATTATTGAGAAATGCTGACAAGTAACAATACTTAAAACAAATTACACGTAATCTTTATTTTTATTATATTTTTTTAATGCTATACTATTTTTTATGATAATCTTTATTATTAATTGAAATTAATCTGTCTATCTCTATCCACGTTTTTTTATTTTTTCAAATTAAAACTAATTTAATGTTGTAGTCTTAAAAAAGGAATAGTAAAGTGTAGTGAGTAGTTGAGAAGGTAACTTGATTCGGACAAATAACGGCACATCACAAGACAATAACAACTAAAGGATAAAATAGTGGGATTTTTAATGTGTGTGCACAATGTAATAAAGTTTAAATTCAAAATTTAAATATTATTTTAATATTTTATAATAGATAATTTAAAATAAAATATTCTAATAAAAAGTAAAATATATATGAAGAGGGGGGCATTTTGTAAGACCTGCAACACTCTTGTCTCTCTTTTCACTCTTCGCTCTCTTTCCTAAATTTTTATTGTTGTTTTATTTCCTCAAGGCTGAAGTGGTAAGAATTAGGGTTGTGAAGCAAGATTCATCATCTATTCTTCTTCTTCTTCAACTCTGGAGTCGTGCAAACACTTCTTCTTCTCCCTTTTCTTTAGTTCGGAGTCGGATTCTTCTTCCTTCGAGGTAAGGAAAGCTGGGATTTTGGGGTTTTGGGTTGAAAACATGGGGTTGTTAAATGAATTGAAGGTTAATGTTGGTAAATTTGTGAAATCTGCAACTATGGGGTGGATTTAAGGGGGGTTTGTGTTAAAAATTGAGGATTTTTGTTGTTCTTGAGGTAAGGTTAAAATGTGATGGTTTTCTTGAGTTGTTGTAGATACATGTTGTTTTTCTTGGATTTTCTGAGTTGTATGATGTTAGTGTTGGAAGGTTTTTGGGTTGCATGTCTTGATCGTTGCATGGGTTGAGAGGATTTGGAGATTTGAGTTGTTCATCTGTTGATATGAGTTTTTTGGGTTTGAGATGCTGAGCGTGAGTTTTCATGTTTAGCGTGACAATTTGGAAGTGTTGCTAGAAATCTAGGGCTGAGCGTGAGATTTTGCACTGAGCGTGAGAGTGAGTTGTGCCTTTGGAAGGTTGACACTGAGCATGGAATTATATACTTAACGTGAGAGCTGAATTGTGCCTCTAGAAGGCTGAGGTTGAGCGTGAGTTTCTACACTAAGCGTGGGGACTTAGTTTAATAAATTTCTTTTCTAATTAAGTTGGTTGCTTACATGATTGATGAGTTGTATGTTGAAAGCTTGTTGTTTGAATTGTATTATGATTAAATGATGTTGAATAAGTTGTAGAGATGCGGTATAATGAGGAGCATTATGTGTTGAACATATTGCATGTTGTTGAAGTTGTTTATGAGTTGTGTGTTGATCAATTTTATGTTGAAAAAATGATATTGTTGAAACATGTTGAAATTAAGTTGTTAAAGTTGTTATATGTTGTGTGTTAACTATGTATATGTTGTGAAATATAATGAGATGATCTAGTTGAGAGTTGTGAAGTGCATGATGATAATGTTGCTAAGTTGTTAGATGAGAGTTGTATGTTGTTATAAAGTTGTATGTTGTACTATGTGTTGAAGAGATGTTACTTTGTGATGGTTGAGTTGTAAGTTGTGAGTTGAGTTGTTGAGTTACTTTCCATCGTCGCAAATCGGTGGAAACAAACGCCAACTTTTCTCGCCTTTTGTTACTCGTAAACAGTAAATCACCCGAAACAATCACTACGTTAGAGAAATCTTGAGTCTAGACAACTTGTGTGAGAGAAAAGATTGATGTGTAATTTAGGTGACTGATAATGTGATATATAGGATAAGAAGAGTGATATAGAGAAGAGCGATGCTGACATAGAAGAAACTATTAGGCACTTCCCGATCATCCGGTGTTTATGCTACTAATTAATTATTATAAGATATGTAATTATATTTTTCAATCAACAATACAAATTAATAGTACTAAATTATACAGAACTTAGTTAATAAAAATTTAGTTAGAAATTATGTGATTCAATAATACTTAATAATTTATTGTCATGCATTTAAAAATGTTGAGTTCTAAAAATAAAACCCTTAACTTTTTAAGCCTATAAAAATAATGAGTGTTTTATAAATTATTTGGTTAAATTGTTTTTTAACCATTTTATTTTTATTAATTTGTAATTTTGATTTTTTTATTTTAAAATAAAAATATTTAATTTTTTAACTTTAAAACTATGAAATTTTAATCTTTTTTTATTATTAAATTTACATTTATTAATTATTAAGTTTTAATATTTACTCAAACTTAAATAATATAATATTTAGTAATATAACATTTAAAAATAAAAAATTGAAAAAATATACAAATAAATTTTTTATTAATAATATAAATATCAATCATTCATAAAAATAGATACTATTGAAAAAAATTTGTATGTTACTTTTAATTTTTATTCATAAACGTCGTATCACTAAATATTACATCATTTAAGTGATGACAAATTATTATATAATGTTAAAATTTAACAAAGGATCAAAATTTCATATTTTTAAAAATAGGGGACTAAATGTCTCTATTTTAAAATAAAGGGACCAAAAAATGCAGATCAATGAAAATAAAGGAATTAAAAGTACAATTTAGCCAAATTATTTTTATCTATTATTTTAGTTATGATTTATAAAATATTTTTGTATCATAAACATAATAACTTTGTTTTGAAATAGTTTTATTTTATTTTGATTTCATAGAATTAGATACAATAAAAATTTATGTATTATTTTTTGATTTTTTATTATAACATCTTACAAAAATATAAACAAAAATAGTAATTTAACACACACACATACATATATACACACATAGAGACATATATATAGTCAAGTATAAATCTAAACACTTATAGCAAAATTCGTACATTTAATAACTTTATCTATAAAATAAATTTAACCAATCCAACTATTCAATTATGTGAAATTATACTCAAAATCATATATATTAAATTTTACATGATTTACACCTTTCTGGATATGTTATCTAAAAATGGATATTTACATATACTTTAAATATCATATTATACATTAAAATAAAGCAATGTGATGAAATACTAAATAATTTTGGAATCACGTAAAATTTGATGCACATGATCTTGAGTATATAACATATTAGATCAATTAAATTTGTGTTATACAAAAAATTATTGAAAGTATAAGATTTGATGTAAGTGTTAGACTTACATATGGTCTTAACAGATTATGACTCATAAATCAAGTTTGCAAATTTTTTTAAAAAATTAAAACTATTTGATACTTCGTTTCGTTAATTCAAATTGACATACAATTATAAAACTATTTGATAATTTTGGAATCACGTAAAATTTGATGCACATGATCTTGAGTATATCACATAACTCAACGATTAGATCGATTAAATTCGTGTTATACAAAAAATTAATGAAAGTATAAGATTTGATGTAAGTGTTAGACTTACATCTGGGGTTAATAGATTATGTGTAACAGCCCGATTTTCATAGATTGTACGAAGACCCAAAAGCCCAATATGAGTGATTTAGTAGTCCAGAACGGGCCGTTTCCAAACTGGAACGGCCAGTTCCAAACCACCAAAATGGCCTATAACCCTAGTTGGGAACAGGCTGTTCCAAACATGGCCGTTATGAGTTAAAATGTAACCCCAGAACGGGCCGTTTTAGATGTGAAATTTTACGCATGACGAAGAGTCCAGAACGAGCCATTCCGGATTTGAAACGAGTCATTCCAGTCACTCTTGATGCCTATAAATAAAGCGCTCTGGCACTCCTAAAAGGCACACTTATCAGTTCTGACTTTTTTCAGTTTTGACTTCTTTTCCTTCTACATCCTCTGAAGACCGAGGGGAACCCAGAGGAGGAGACCAACCAGATCCTACTCTAGTTTCAACTACTGCTTATCGAGGTACGGGGGAAAATGGGAGATTTATGTGTAGAGTCACATGAGGGAATGGGTGAAGAAGAGTTCCTGTGGAATTTTTAATAATTTTATAATTATTTCTGTTTGGAGAATTATTGGTATTATGAGATTCTGTATGTGTTTAGAATTATGAATATATGATTAATTTGTAAAAATGATGTTATGGAAGAGAGAACGAAATCGTAGAAAAGTGCCTCTAAGTTAGGTTTTGAAAAATTGAGGGTTTTACTATTTGAGTTAAGATTCTACTAAATTGATGATTCTATTAGGTTTTATATTAATTTATAAATATTCTTGTTACATTATTTGGTAAAATTGATGATCTAGATATGGAATGTGGTGTGCTGACTTCGTACAAATGTATACATTATATCTACTGTTTCTATATTGAATTGATAACATGATGTGAGTATATTTACACATTATTACTCATAGATCAAGTTTTCAATATTTTAACAAAATTGAAATTATTTGATATTTCATTTCATTAATTCAAATTGGCATATAATTATAAAAGTATGTTATGCATTAATTTTAATTAATACAATAGGGTATCAAATAGTTTTCATATTTTTCCAAAGTTTACACACTTAATTTGTGTATTATGAACTTTTAATTTAATTGTTATCGTTGAAATTTAATGTAGAACATGAGTTATTGAATTGAATAAATTTATATAAACTTAATCCATTCAATAACGCATATTCTACATCAAATATTAATTATCCAACCATTGAATTGTTAATGTCTAGCTCAAGTATGCAATTTTTTAAAAAAGTTACAGACTTGATTTATGTATTAAAAAATTTTAATTTAAAAGTTGTATCATAAAATTTGATTAAGAACATATATTATTAAGTGAAATAAGTTTATTTAGACTTATTTTTGAAATAAGTAAATCTCTCTATAAATAAATACACACATATATATATAAGAGAAAACATGAGAAATTTTTATTTTTTATTTTTATTTTTTTAACACTTGAGGAATATAATAATCTATTAAAAAGAGAAAATTAAAAGATGATTAC